CTTACACGATGAACTATAATAATATTCCGACCAACAACAACACTTACTGGACCAACAACAACACTTACTGGACGTCCGGCGCGGAGAACAATTAACGAGATAATGAGAAACTGACGAAACGAGTTGCTTACTTTTAACAGCTTTTTCATAGAAAACTAGTTTTCGCACGTAAGCTCCCTTTTCGTAGACCAGGTCACATATATTAAACGAAAGAAGATACCGAAAAGCATTGAACAGTGCACACATCTCATAAGGAAAAGTGAATTATTACGAAATACTAATACAGTGGCAGCACTATAGCTATTTTGGAATCTCGCGTTTCAGCTCGCAAAGATTGTCAACTTCTTTTTAATAACAAAATAATCTATCTTAGGTTGATAAAACTATGTGTTTCTTTAATAAAAAAGTTAAATTATATATTTTAATAGTGTTTAAAAATGAGAACAGGTGATTTAGTGAATCTTTGTCGGTGTAATTGCCCATAGAAAACAACGAAATTTAACAAAAGTTTTTTGTTCATAACTTTTAAATGGTTAATAATATTAGCCCCCCTCCGGATTGTTATTAGGGGGGCCGAAATGCGTCGTTTGGTACCTCTCCCGACTTTTCCGCACCTTTTTTAGGGGTTGTTACCCCACCCTAGAGAATTACCGAGTTTTGTTTTCATCATATTTAATTGTGAAAAAATGTTCAGCTGCCGTAAAGTTGTGAAGTAAACTCAATATTTTTGAAGCAAATTCAAAAATATTTGTATGAGTATCAAAATTTAACATTTGTGAATAAAAAAGTATCAAAGTATCAAATACAAAATTTAAAAATATCAAAAATTATACAATAGTATCGAAACGGCAACTCTGCCTACTTCCGGCGGACAAATGCTGCAGCAACATATACGTACAATAAAATATATACATACGTTAGTACATCGCATAAAATTCATGCTCCGCAGCAAGAAACTAAGTTTTAATAAAGATTAGAATGTCTTACCTTCGAAAATTACTGGATTTCTTTGCTTGGATATAGTTAAATTAATTTTAGTTCTACAAATTAATTTCACTTAATACCGCGCTTGTCTACCAACTTCACAAAGACGCACAGCACCTTCTCCGCAAGTCATGCACATTTGTCGCATCATATTTTAGTGATTCTTACACTGATTATTCGATAAGCACACATTTTAAACTATAAATTAATTTTTTACACTCATTAAACCCGTTTTAAAATCAATTTAAATCGGAAAGAAGGTGCACGTATGAAAATTTTCACTTTTTGATTCAAGATGGTGGCGGCCGGTACAGCTGTCAAATAAAAACCGTTAGCCAAGCAGTGTTGAAAAGTTGAGTTTTACATGAAATGTGCCGAAAAACGGTTTTATTCGGATTTTAATTTCTCATTCGGACTTAAAGAGGGCAAAACTGCTGTTAAATAGATATTTAATAAACTTGAACTCTTTTTCGCAGCTCTTTTTTGTATTTCTAGAAATCGGAATCGCTACAAATTTGTACATTGCACAAAGCTCACTGTTGTGGGATCTACTTTTTCGTTTGATTATTGCTGTGCTGCTCTTACACGCATACTTCGCCCTTGGACTCCATTATCAAAAGCAGGGATATATGTGCTCCTTCTAGCACACATGCCGTTTACGCTACTCGCTGTCAGTTCCGACAATTTGTTGGAAAAAATTTTCAAGTGCATTTGTCGTGGATTCTCTAATTGTTTGTTTTCAATTATTACTGACGAAAAGTAAGCAATAAAACCCATTTAAAAATAGTGGTGAGTGTTCAGAATTGTACGCTCTAGTATTATTAACTAAATTTTACCTAAGTAAAGTCTACTAACGCTAAAAATTGCTTTGAAAGTGCATGATAAAATTTTGCAAGTTCATCTGTCTCGTGGTCGTGTGTTCGGCTAATCGGTGTATTAAGCGCTGTTAGTGGGAAAATTATTTCCACATCGGCTGGAGCCACAATGTGATAATAAGCATTAATCTTCTAAAATTTAAGTCACATCGAAACCGCAAATTGGAAAGTATTAGCCTAGTAGTAAAATTATTGATTTCCCAATGCAATTGCGTACTTTCATAAATGCGTACGTGCCATTTTCCGCTGCATTCTTGTGTTTTGTCATACATAATGGTATGCTTGTTGTTCGGGTGGTGCGGGGTCAATTCATTGGTAGATTCGAGAAACTGGTACCTTTCTGTGTGCTCAAGTGTGCTAAGAAATCAATAAATCTTTTTTTGTGGCACCAAGAGCTGATCGTTGTCAACCACGCGCAGGGGTCAGCGGAATGCACTTGTTTAACAGATTGTGTGTATGTACATACAGTCAGTTCATAAAGTTTGGGTACAGCGAATTTCTTACAATACGGGCAACTTTTTTTTTAATTTTATTTCACGCTATTTTTTTTATAAAAATACTCTAATTCTACAACAAAAAACCCCAAAATCAGAGTTCCCAACCTTGTACAAAATTTCATTAAAATATTGATTTTTTATTTACGCTCTCTACAAAAAGACGATTACAGCTTTTTAGTGCATTCAATTTTAGTATAATAAAGTGCAAGTATGAGGAAGCTAGGACTTACCATTGATTTTTGGGCAAATTTTTTTGTTGAAAGTGTCTCACATTTTTTTCATATAAAAAATTATCAAACATTATTTTATATAGAGGAAATGAGCAACACCTTCAACAAAAAAAAAATGCTAAAAATCAATTGTAAGTCCCAGCTACCTCGAACTTGCACTTTGTTATACTACATATATATACAGAATTTTCTTCAACTTTGCATAAGGTTTAGAACTCTGATTTTTGGGGTTTTTGCTGTAGAATTAACCCCATTTTTATAAAAAAGTGAGCGAAAAATCAAATATTTAAAAAATAGGTGGCGGTATTGTAAAAAAGTCGCTGTATCTAAACTTAATTGACTGACTGTATGTATGTACGTACATTTGTTTTCAATTAACGCCAAACTGGGGGCAAAAACCGCACTTCAAATGTGTTCTTTGTTTCGTTTCATATTTTTTTTTTTATTATTCTCGAAAGCGTAATGTAAATTTCTTTCACAGCGATTTTGACGTATGAGGGGTGGGGGTGGGAGCCAGCAGAAAAGTGGGTGGCACAGTGCAAATGCTGGTGTAGGTGTTCAATTGGAATATGCACTTTCAAAGATGTATAGACTGTAAAATAATGTGCTTACACTTTTCATAAAAGCGTTAAGCAAATATGATCATTACACACTTTTTAGTTAAACCTATGGGCTGAATCATGGAACAATAATTACAGGTATTGTCTTCCCAGAGAGTTTGGCTTCACATTGAAATTTGTGCTCTTTAATCGTTTAGTTCACACTTTTGGTTCCCTTTCATCATTATTATTATTATTTTTTCATTCTATTCTATGCCGAGACTACATACATCTGACATACATTTTTGCACCTCTTTCTATTTGGTTATTATTTCAGTCTAGATCCAGTAATATCTTAAATTTCGCATTTTCTTTAGTCGAAGGTCAGCCTGCCTAGCCATTGCGGAAACTGTTCGGTTAATTACAATGGTTCGGCCAACCTAGATCGTCCATTTAGAATCGAAATGTAACTAGATAATTTGTAAAAAAAAAAAACCAGAACATTGCCGAATTTTTCGTAATTTAGTTTGTTATACATAAATAGTAGAAGGTCCGACAAGGGCACGACCTTCACCCATCTGTTTAATGTATGAAATCTATTTTGTATGAAATTTAACGTGTTAGGAAATATTTCGCGAGTGGATTGGCTGAAATAATGCTGGCTGAGATATTTTTAATTAAATATTCAAAAAATACTCTATATTTTAATTTTGCACTCATATGTTTAATGAAAAAATTACATATGGGTTTTTCCTGCGTTACGACCGTTCCGTTTGGAGACAATTTTTTCTTCATAAAAACTACAGTGGGCACTGAATGAACACAAGTTTTTTGTCATTAGCCATCATCAATATCCTCTATGTATAAATATTGTGACTATTTTTGTGAGCACCAGTATGCGAAATAATGTCAATTGACCTTATTTCCGTTGATCTCGGTCTGCTCGCTTAAAATTTTGTTTTGCTAATCTCAAAATCCTTGAACTCCTTTTTAAAAATCTGATATGCTTCGTTTACTGTCAAAACCATGTAGCGCTTTGATATACATAGTTAGTTCTTGCTTACTTAACAATTTGTTTAATTTAGGGTACTCATTTTCGCATTTCGCCTCCTCATTTTCACTATCTTATTTGTCTAATATTTTTTTTAATGTCTTTTCAACTTATTTTATGGATGTATTGTTTACTTTTATACTTGCCAAAATTCGAAGAAACTAATCCCTCTTTTTTGTTTTCAATTAATTTTTTTTTTGCGCAAGTTAGTCGCATCTTAGACCTTTGTTGCCATTATATATATGATTATTTTTTATTTGCCGTCTATAGTTTATTTCTTTTGATCTCTCTTTTTTATATTCCTCCCTCTTTTCTTCATCTTTCTTCAAATTCCCTCTCTACTTCAATGCTTTCTCAGCCGTGCTTTTAACGTTCGTTGTCTTCGTACAAGCAGAAGTATGTACTATATCTATATACCTATGTAGAAACTAGGGCTGTGCGATTATTCGATTACTCGAGCAAGTTGGTTAATCAAT